CCGCCCCAGCTCCTCTATCAGGCATTCCTGAACCTGGCCGCAGACGGGCCCTCATCATGGCTCCCAGTAAACTCCCCCCGGAGCCCCACGTTCTGCCCTCCTCCTTCTAGCCTACGGGCTCGGCCGTGGCAGGAGCTCCAGCTGTGTGCTTCTTTCCTTCCCTGACAGCCCTCAGGTCCTCAGGTGGGGGAGGTTGTCTCTGTGGCCAGTGCCCAGAGCAGGCTGGGGTGGGGGAGGAGACAGCCGCTGCCCCAATCTGCGGGGAGCAGATGGTGAATGGAGCTCCCCCCAGCTTCATCCTGGCCAGGCTGCGGGGACGTGAGATGACACTGCTGGGCAAACAACCAGACACGCCCTCCGTCCAGTCCCCAGCTGCCCCCGGCAGCATCAAGGGAAAGAGCCTGCTCACCCCAGGGCCCCAGCACCCCAGCCTGGCTCAAGCCCAGCACCCCAGCCTGGCTCAAGCCAATAGGCTTCAAATTCTAACTCAGCCATCCGCTTTCTGCGTGACTCTGGCTCTCTTCTGTGGGTCTGGGCTCCCTCTTCTGCACGAGGGCATCGCTGTCACGGGGTCCGACTCAGTGGCTGCCCCCTTCTTCTTCCCTGTCCCTAACGGTGGGAGCCTGGGCCAGGAAGACAGCGGGCTGGGGGGAGGACTGAGAGATGCTTTTCTTCGGCATTGGGAGAACTGGCTTCGGTTCTGGAATTTACAGCAACCACCACCGAGTACCCCTGGAAAGAGTCTGGAAGGTGTGCCTGCCTCTCGGCGAAGCCAGCCCTGCGCTCCTGTCCATGTTCACCCTCCTGCTGGCTGGGTGCCCCTGGGCAGCGTACACCAATATGACTGCAGGGCACCTCTGTGTGCGCCCTCTCTCTGGGCCTCCAAGCTTCGGTTTGCCCATCTATAAGTTCTACAGTTTTTTCTTGGGTGTTCCCAGAGCTGTTAGGAGATTCACAAACACTATGACGTCTCTGGCAGACAGTTCAGGGCTCTCGGAGGAACCAGAGATCGTTACAGCCTCCAGGACATGTGTACAAGGATGGGGAGCCTGTGAAATGTGGGCCACACCCTCCTCCAGGCCACACGGATCAGCACGGCTCCCACCTGGGCTCTGTCCCAGGCCGAGGTGCCAATCTGCAGGGAAGCAGAGCCAGGCCTGGGAGTCCTGGGCCTCCGTGGACACGCACCACGTCGCCATCACCCTGACCTAAGAGTCAGCCTCCGGGCCGTCTGCCTCTTCACCAAGATCAGAGGGCAGCCGGCAGCTGGGGGCCCTGGGCAGCTGCTGGGCATGGGCTGAGGGGTGGCGGCACTGAGGGGTGGCGGCACTGAGGGCTGGGTCTGGTTCCACACCTGCAAGCACTCAGTCCAGTGAGGACCGTTCACTGCCCTTGTCAATGTTGCCACTGTCACAAATACCGCCCCCTCCCGATCCCCCGGGGGCTCCGGTCAGCCTCCAAGTGCAGGCCTTGTGTGAGTTCTGGGGCCACGCAGGAGCAAGACGGAGTTCTGCTTTCAGAGCCGGAGGCCAGCGGGCCGAACAGATACTTGCCAAGTTTTATACTGGAGCGTGTAGGAGGCCAGCGGAGCTCAGAGGAGGCGGAGGTGGTCCTAACCGGGCCTGCTGGGGCTGGGCAGCAGCCAGGAATGTTTCCTAGACAATCTGAAATTCACACTGTAGTTGTTACTGTCTCCACTCTCCAGGTGCGGGCGCCAAGGCTTGGAAAGATCACACCGCCGATCACTGAGGACGGATCTGGACTCTCACCCAGGGCTGCCGGGCTCCAAAGCCGGGGCTTCTCCCCACAGCACCCCAGATCAGGGCCCCTTCTTCCTGGTTCCGACTGGGAATCCTGGTCATGAAGGGCCTTGAATCCAGGTTTCTTCTGAAGGTTTTGGCAGCTGTGATGGGTTTTCAGGTGGGGAGGCGGGGAGCAGGGTAGCACAGCCCCGAAGCCTCTGGAGGAATGTGTTTGCTGGGGGAGGGGGCCATGGGCAGGGGACACCCAAAGGACCCCAGACCCACCTGCTACCAATAAGGAATGATGAAGGGTGGGGTCTCTGGGGACCAACACTTCAGAACTCAGGTGTGGGCCTGGGGCCAGGAAGCCTGGGGTACTGGGAGGACTCCAAGATTCACTGCAGGAGGGAGGGGGGCCCACATCCACACCTGGGCTCAGGCGGGGCTGGGGAGGGGGGTCAGGGAAGGCGAGTTGTCTCCCTTTCCCAGGGTGGGTGTCAGAGCTGGGGCTGGTAGGGCAGGGCCCCGAGGGCTGAGGCCCAGGACCCACTTCCCCTTTCCCACAGTGTGGATTTCCGTGGCGCCCTCTGCACCCCGGCCTCGCACCCGGTGAGCCCTGGCCAGGGCACGCAAGAAGAAAGGCCTCAGGAGCCAAAGCCCCCTGCCGCTGCATCTCAGGAGAGGAAAGACTGAAAAATCAAAGCCAGCCAGAAACAGGGCTCCTGCAGCCCACAGTGGCCCCCACCCAAACCCCACCCTCAATGCAAAACCAAACCCAACCCAGCTTGCGCCTCACACTTTAGCCCCGATCCAATCCCATTATACGGTCACTGGATCACACCTCCAGCTTCCTCCGAAGACTCAGCTCAGCCTCAACCCTAACAAGAAACCCTAACCTAACCCAAACCTCCACGTCAGTTACAGTCCCCACAGCACCCCAATCCTAGCTGCACCCCGGATTCTAAGCTTAGCCCTGACTTGGCCACCCCCAACCTCAGCTGCACTCTAAACCTGACCCTAACCCGCACGTCAGCCCGAATCCTACCGCGAACTCTGATCACTCACAGCGACATCTTCCCTAATTTAACCCCAATCCCAACCCGGAACCGAAGGCTGATCTCAACCCAGCTTTCACCCAGCTCAACTCCACTCACCCGATCCCAGCCAGCAGCACCCTCAGCTGCACTCCAGACCTGTGCCTGGTGCTCACGTCCATCCCAACTGAAATCAGTTCTACCCGTAGGTGTATCTTGAGCCTCATCTTTAGCCTAAACTCCATCCATAACCCTAATGTTCTCTACCTCACCCCTGGCCCCTGCCCCCCGTGCTCGCTCCCACCCAGCTCTGAGCTAGCACTGGCCACCACGTGGCTGGATTGGATATGTAGACCTCGGTGTAAACACACACACACATTCATCAGCACACGCCCACCTCAGTGTCCATACACACAGCTCAGTGTACACACAAACCTCAGCATGTACACGCACACATACACACACACACACACCTCAATGTATACACACATCTCAGCACACACACCCCTCAGTGTCCATACACACACCTCAGCACAAACACATCTCAGCACACACACACCTCAGTGTACACACACACATCTCAGCACACACATACACACACACCTTGTGTACACACACACACTCTCACACACACACACCAGAAAGGGGAAGAAGTCCAGTCTAGCGCTGAGGGGGACCTGGGAAGGCAGATAGAACAGGTGTTTCCTGCCCCTCCCTTGGGCCAGACCCCTTTGTAGCTCTGCTCCCTCCAATTCCTCCTTCAATATTGACTCTCTCCACCCAGGGATTTCCGCCCCTGGCCCCTTCCTGGCTTCCAGCCAGGTTTGTTTGTAGATTAGAGCCCTGGAGCTCCCAGGACCTCCCTTCCTCCCTGTCCTGGGGCCCTGCTCATAACAGAACACACACTATGGCAGTCCTCGTGGGGGTCAGAGTCTAGAGGGGAAGAGACACACAGCCAGGTAATCTCACTCAACAAGATCTCTGGTCGGGGAATGGACTTGGTTCTATGGGGACTAAAAGAAGTTACTTAGCTGAGGATGCAGTGGGGGTCATTTGACCTGGGCCTTAAAGTTTGAGTAGGAGTTCACCTAGAGACAAGAAAGGAAGTCTTCCAGGCAGATGGAACAGCATGTTCAAAGGTAGGCAAGCATGTCCAGGAAGAGTTGGGGGGTGAGCCTGGCAGGACAGCCCAGGGTGGGGAGATGAGACTGGGCAGTTGGGGGAGGCAGAGCAGAAGGGGAGGGCACACATGGGAGGATGGTCAGCAGGTAGAAACAGCAGGACTCAGGAGGAGGAGGTTGGGGGCCGGGGGAAAGGACATTGGGAGGGAGAGCAAAGGAGCTCATTTAAGGACAATCTGAGGCTGAAGGACAGGCAGGGCAGTGCCACCAGCCCAGAATGTGGCTCAGACGGGCAGGTCACTAGAGAGGCCAGCAGGGACCAGGAGTGGATGCTGCTGTTGACAGCAATAACCTGTGAGGCAGGTGTTATCAGCCCCACAGAGGACACAGGGACATTGAGGCTCAGAGAGGGCAAACCATTTGCCCAAGTTCACCGACACTGAAACTGGGCAGTAGGTAAGACTTGAACCTACTGAGAGATGGCAGAGCGGTCCTTCCTCAAAGTCACAATGGCCACACCTAGAACCTGCCTCGGCCTACAGCCTCATCTCTCATCATCTGAAGCCCTCTCCAAACCCCTCATCCTCGCAGCGGAATGGTTCCCATTTCTCCGAGTATTCCAGGCCTGTCTCACCTCCTGGCTGTCATAAATGTAGCCTCTTCTGGAATAAATGGCCTCTCCCCCCATCCCCTTCTCTAAGAAAATGTCCACCCATCCTCCAGAACTGGGCACTGGCAAGACCTCCTTTGGGAAACCTTCCTGAACTGTCTGCCCCTGGGCTGGATGGGGTGTCCCTCCATTCCCCTGATCACCCTGCATTGCCACTGCCTGGACCCCTCCTCACGGCCGGTCTGCAGACCAGAGCAGTGTCAGGGAGTGTGTGTGGTGAGTGATCGCAGGACCCAGAGGCTGTGGGGCAAAGTGAGTGCCAGGGGAGGGGGCTGATCTCTTATCTGCCAGGGCTATCTTGAGCCTTCACTGATTAGGCCTTAATTTACAGCTGAACAGATGAGACTCTGGGTTACTCAGTAACCCTGCCTTCTTTAAAAGTCCCCGCTTCCCTTTGGCATCCAGAACCAGCCACTCCTCAGGCTCTGCTGCCATGAACACCTCCCTGCTCGCCGCACTGTGCCTCCTGGGAGCCTGGGCCGCCCTGGCAAGGGGAGTCACCGTGCAGGTAAGTCCTGTCCCTACCTTGGTCCAGCCGGCTCTCTGCCCCCAGTGCACAGGGCCTATGCCCTGGTAGAGCACCCCCTCTTTGGAGCTGGAGTGAGGGTGTGTGTGTCTGTCTTGACTCTTCCTCAGGGACCCCCTTCTCAGTCCTGCCTCATATGCCTTCCCCTTCAAACTTGGAAGAGAAAGAACACCAGGTAGGGAGAAGAGAAGTAGCTATTTGGGAAAGACAGGTGATTAGCCAATTTACTGAAGACTAGCCATGAGCCAGGCCCCGCTTGTACCTCGCCGCAGCCCCCGATGGCCCTGGGAAGAATGTATTATTAGTACATTTCTCAGAGGAGGGAAACCGCCCCAGAGAGGCTCTGGAACTGGCTGTGGGCACAGGGCTGGGCAGGGGAAGAGCTGATTTGTTACTGGAAAGGGGACCAGGCCCAGAGCGGGTCGGCCTTGGGCTGGCCTGCAGTGTGTGGGCTCTTGACTTTGTGCAGGAAAGATTTCACAGGACGAGTCCAGGCGATCTTGAGAATGCATTTATCAAAGCGGGGGACAGCGAAACAAAGGAAGGACTTAGGATAGAAGCAACAGCAGAGGAGCCCAGGCGGGCTGTTGTCAGCTCTCTGGAGAGTCAGAGAAAAGGGGGACAGGTGTGGGGTTAGCCCAGGATGAGCTACTGCTGCCCATCACTCCTCTGGTTGCAAGTCTCATGGGGTCCCTTAGAGTTTAGGAGATGTGCACCTGTGGGGGAAGAAGAGGAGGAAGGGAAAGGTCGGGGACCTTTGTTTTGAGAGTTTTTAAAGGCTGGGAGTGTCGGGGAGGACCTCAATAAAATATTCATCAGCTTTTCCAGGTGTGTCCTTTCAGGGCCTCGGTCTCCACTGATTGGTTGGCACCAGGGCAGGGGGTCATTAGTCATTGCAGCTGGTCCTGGTGTCACCTGCCTGGTTTTGCTGCTTTTCGGGGCCTGGAGCTGAAATACAACTGAGGCCTAGATGTTATGTCTAGGGAGAAAGGTCAGGGGGGTGGTCTAAACCACATGACCAATGATATGAAAGGTCAAGGGACCTAAACCAAATGACCAGTGATGTGCCAGGGGGGAGGTCCGGTGCCAGTTTTGCCCATTGCTAGGGCACCTGGGGCTTTCCCCCGGGGACCTTCTGTCTCTGGCTGTAACGTGCTCGGCCAGTTTGTTCAGCTGTCTGTCTCAACTTCCCAACCCCACTTGCCAAGGGATTTTCCTAGCTTCTTACTGTCCTGCCTCAGATTCAACTCCAGATCTTACTCCTCAGTCCTGTACTCAGCCGGAGCACAGGACTGGATCTCAGGACTCGTGTGGTCATCCTGGAGGTCCTGAAGGAAGTGTGCGCAGCACGGATGCCAGCCACAAGCAGTCTGGCACCCAGCAGGGGGCCCCACTCCATCACAGCCAGGCTCTGCAAGGCCTTATGTTGCTTCTCAAACACCAGCCAGGCTGCGGGCTGGAGCTGGGGGTGGAGTGATTAGCCCTCATGCCTGTCAGGCAGGGGTGACTAGAGCCTGGGCATGGCCAAGTGAAACCTGGTCCTGGTTCCAGCTCTGTACCTCTCCCTAAAAATCAGCACAATGGCTCCCACATATTGGGCACCTAATGTGTCCCCAACACATCACATCCATTTTCTCCGTTCCTCATAACATGCGGAACCCAAGGCTCTCAGAGTGTAATGACCTACCCATGGCCACAGAGCAAAACCAGGATTCAAGCCCAGTGTCTAGCCATAAGGCCTGAGCTCTAACCACTCATACTGCCCTGCAGTGGCGCGCCTGGTTCCCATATGCCACAAACACTGCTTGAGCCACTGGGACTAGAGAGGGGCCCGCCCAGGAGGAGGCAGTCAGGGAGCAGGCTGCAGCTTGGCCTCATGCTCTGGACGTGTCTCTCTCAGGATGGGAAATTCTCCTTTCCTCTGGAGTCAGTGAAGAAGCTCAAGGGCCTCCAGGAGCTCCAGGAGTCCAGCGTTGGGAGCCACAGGCAGTTCGATGGACCCGTGGCTCCCGCCCTCTGCGGCTATTCTAAGTTTCCCGAAGAACTGAAGCCTGTCTGCAAGGAGCCCAATGCCCACGAGATCCTCGGGAGGCTGGGTGAGTAGCCTCCGCTCTGATGAGTGGGGCTTGGGGATCCCCTAATTGGTGGCACTTGAGGGAGAGATGTGCTCTGATTGGTGGGATTCAGAAGAGGGGCTCTTTTCTGATTGGTGAGACCGAAGAGCCGTGCTCTGATTGGCGGGTGTTATGGCGTCCTCTGCTGTAACTGGTTCTCAGTTGTAATCAGTGAGGCTTACTTTAGGAAAGTCCTGGCTTTGACTGATGCATAGGTAGCACTGCTCATAGTTCATCCAGTCTTGGCTGTAGTTCTTTTCTGAGTAGAATCTCTGCTCTAATTGGCTGGCTTGAGTGGTACTTGTGCCCTGGTTTGGGGTGGAAAGCCCAACTGGTCAGAGGACAGGCCTGGGTTTCACCTGGGGGCTGGGTGGCAGCTGTTCTAGCTCTGGAGGGCGGGGCTTTGGGAAAGAGAAGCTGGCTCTCACGCGGCCCCATCTCTCCTGAGCAGAGGCCATCGCTGAGGATCCGAGCACGTGTGAGCTCTGTGCCTATGCTGCCTGTGCTGGATGCTAGGCCAGTAGGGGTTCGCTGTCTTCCATCCCTCCCCCGCGGAGTGCTCCCACTCCCAGCAGCTGAATCTACCCTGCCCCCGGTGGAGGATTGAGGAAAGAGCAGTCTGGGGAGACCCAGCCCCGACCCCATCTGAGCTGCCAAGCTGCCGGCTGTTTCTCCAACCTGCCTCTAATAAACCAGATTCCAGAGTATCCCTGGTGTTGCTTTCATTCATTCCTTCATCTCTCAGTCTGCGCATCACCCAGCTCCATGAGTGCCGCCCTGACCTCGCAAATTCAGGGCGTGGTGTGCTAAGTGCAAGGACCCACTCTCCCTGCCTGCATGGAGGGGGCTGAATCTGCAGACCGCCCACGGAGGAGGTGGAACCTCTGCTTTTCTTTCACATCTCTGGGAGCCACCACAGTCACTGAGGCACATATGAGCACACAAGTCACAAGGGTCTATGACGTGGGCCCCGAACTCTCTAGAGTATTCAAGGTGCATTAGGATCTGGCCCCCACTGACCACTTCAGCGCTGCTTCCTGCACGCCCCCCCCCACACACACACCCAAAGCCACAGCTCTCAGCGTTTCCGCTGCCCCCTGACCTCTGCACTCCTCTTCCCGCAGCCCTGGCCAGATCAGCTCCCACTCAGGCACGGATGCTCTGCTCCCGCGGCCTGTCCTCAGAGCCTTTCCCCACCCTCCAAGAAAGAATCTTCATGCTCCCACTCTGCCCTGGGTGCTCCTGGGGCACTTCGATCACCTGCACCCCTGGCACAGCTCTGGCCACCCTGAGGCAAAATGGCTTCCGTGCCTGGGGAAGTCTCTCTGCCCCCGAGTGGGTGAGGCCCACCCCGTGGGTGACTGCATGAGAATGTAACAGAGCAGGGGAGGCAAGAGCTACACAGTTCCAGCCCCAGGTCTTCCATGTGCTGTGTGATGTTAGGAAAGTTGCTTTTCCTCTCTGTGTCTTAGTCTCCTGCTCTGTAGAACTGGGGTAGTAACAGCACCTGTCTCCCAGGCTACGGGAAATGCTGCATGCAAATGTGTGTGTGTCATGTACGTAAAGTTCAGGCTAACTGCAAACATAACAGAATTCAGTAAATGGTATAAACATATAAACCAAAGAAAGGGAACCGGGTGGAGCTGAGAATGATTCAGACAGGGGTGAGGGGTGGAGGCGTGCAGGGAGGCAGAGGGAAGGAGCAAAGATGAGGCGACCTTCTTGGAAGTGGGGCGGAGGGAAGTGCCACAGGGTGACTCAGGCAGAATTTCCTGGGCTGCAGAATTCAGAGGGTGAGGTGAACTAGAAGTCAGGGAAGGCTTTGTGGGGGGAGGGAGAACCCTTTGGAATCTCTGGGCTTTCACCATTGGGATGGATGGCATTTCAAGACCCATGTGGAGAGAGGGGGCAGAGGGCATTCCAGAAAGTGGGTTTGGTGGGACACACACAGAAGCAAGAAGGTCCAAGGCACTGCCATGGTTCAGCTGGGTGACACCGAGGGTCCTGATTTAACGTACGACTTCTGTTTAATACGCAGCCCCAGCACTCCAGTCAGTTTCTTCACAGCTGCCCTGTAAGCCTTACCCTTTTCCGTACCAGTCACTAACCCTCGGCCAGAAGCAATGGCCGAGCTTCACTATAGGTTTCTGTTAAGTGAAAGATAATATTTTGACCTAAGTTATGTTTCAGCTCCTGAACCCTGAGGTGGAATGACCCCTCGGCTACTTTTCCATGACACTGGGCAAAGGGATGCCAGAGCAGACCTCAGGGCTGACCGCACGACCCTGAACCCCTGACCCACGGTGCCTTGTGATTTTGCCCCATATAATCTAACTCACATGTCATTGGGGGGTTGGGGCTTTTGAGCATCAGTTTCCCAATCTCTGGGGCGGCACCATTCATAATAAATTAGTCAATATTTCTCCAGTGCATCTCTTGGTCTTCTGTGTTCGGCTCTGCTAGTGCCGGGTGGGCGAACTCTTTCTGTTCAATAGCACAGACAGGGCCGGGGCTGAGTTCGAGCCTGCCCATGCCATTTACAAGCCATGCACCCCGCCCCGAGACCTGGTTTCCTCGACCGAAATGGGGATGGGATGGTAACAGAGCCTGCGTCCCAGGGCTGCCAGGGGACCCGATGAGATGTGCGGGGGAGCAGTCACTGAATGCTCCCCCTCAGCCCCGCTCTCTGAGTGCTGACCCTGCCTGCTCCCAGCTGCGAGGCTTTGGCAGGTCACTGAGCCTGTTTCCTCAGTCTCTGCGTCTGTAAACTGGAAATGACAATGGGGAGAGGGAGAGGGGGAGATTCCACTTTTAGAACTTTAAGAAAGAAGTTGTTTTAAAGCGCTTATTTTTACTCCTAAATAAAATGTGGTTGAGTGAAGATTAAGTGAGGTACTGTAACCCAGGAAAAGCTGTTAAAGTTCTACCAGCCTGACCCATAGTGAGCACTTTATTGATGCTGCCATTGTTGTTGTTGTTGATAATATCATTGTTATTATCTGGGTGGAAGGCTGTCTTATGCCTGACGTAGGAGATGCCTGGTCAGTGGCCATTTCCCTCACTGTCTCCTCCCCAGGGGCCCAGAGTAGCTGAAGGGGCTGGTGGAGATGAGACCACGTGGCCTATGAGCTCAGTTTAGACTTGAGAGGCGGCCCCGGGGAGCCATGGAAGGCTGCGGGCGCGGGCAGAGCAGCTCTGTGGTGTTCCTCTGGTGTGTGGGTATGGGAAGCAGGGCAGGGAGCAAGCTCTGGCCTGGGCTGCCGACATGTGCTAAGGGCCCTCGAGTGATGGTAAAGGGATAAGAGGGGCCCAGAGGGACCAGTCCGGCCCGTGGGGGGAGAAAGAGAGGGGCGGAGCCCAGGGGTTATGGCCTGGTGGACTGGGAGACTGCAGGACTCACGAGCAGAACGAGGCAGGCAGGAGGGGTAGCTGGTGTGGGGAACATCCTGGCCTTGGCCCTGGTGAGCTGAGCTCGGAGGGCCCAGCCTCTTGTAACCGGCTCCCCTCTCTGACTGCCCCAGGCAGCGGCTGGGCAGCTCCGGGCCTTGAGTCAGTTACTGAGGCCACTGCCTGGCGAGAATGTGGTGGCACAGGGCCTGGTGGCCCGGTGTCACAGGGAGACATGACCTGGTGTTTCAGAGCATGGATTCTCGCAGGCTTTGCAGAAAGAGTCCTGCTTTGCCACTTTGCCAAGCCTGGACTGGTCAGCCCTGTACCTGTGTGTCCCTCTTTTTTTTTTTTAATCCTACCTGAGGACATTTTTCCATTTTTTTGTTCAGATAGAGTGGGAGGGAGAGAGAGGAAGAGAGAGAGAGAAACATTGACGTGAAAGGGACACATCGAGTGGCTGCCACCCGCACAACCCAACCAGGGCCGGGGACAAACTGCAACTGAGGTACATGCCCTTAGCAGGGACCGAACCCGGGTCTCTCTGGACCGCAGGCTGACGCTCTAACCGCTGAGCCAAACCGGCCAGGGCTGCGTGTCCTTCTTTGTACAGTGGAGACGGTAACCATGACAGTACCTGCTTCCTTAGACTGTTGGGAGCTTAGTGAGTTAATACGTGCAGAGGGTTTAGCATAGCGCCTAGAGTATAGCAAATGCTCCATAAACAAACGATGGCAATTATCGTTGTTAATATTCTTCAGGGCTATCAGGATGGAAGGAGGGAGGAAAGACCTTTATCTGGAGCTGGCCAGAGGGTCCCTGAGGAGGGTGGGTGCTCAGGGCCCATCTTCTCAGGCACCCTGAGTGAGCGGTCAGCCTGATGATAGGCCTGAGAAGCGGGCACCTTCCCTCCACCCACTCCCGTCTCAACTACCAGAGGAAGCTCCCCCATCCCCTCCCCCCACCCTCGGTCAGGAGCACAGACACTGGCTCTGCACCTAGGCCAGGCCTTGGCTCAGCTTGGGGGTAAGTGGGTGTGGGTGCTTCGTGGACCTCGGGCACCTCATTCCCTCCCGAGCCTCAGTACCGCCGGTACCAAACAGGGCTTAGTGAACCGACTCCTTCGGCCCTGGAAACCTGGGATGAACAGCCGGGCACTGATGGCGTGTGGGGTGGAGAACCTTTATTCAGCAGCAGGGCTGCCCAAGGGGCCAAACTCTCCTCCAACTGTGAGTCTGACTCCTTTGTGCCAGATTCAGCACCGCTGGGAGGGTGGCAGTGACCCAGGTGGCCAGGACTCCGCCAGAGCTTGGCTGGGGGAGGGGTGGGCTGTCCAGGGTGGGTTCAGCGTGTCTAGGGTCATCTCAGAGGCAGCCGGTACAGGCGACATTCACACACAGCTCACAGTTGTCGTTAGCGATGGTCTCTGGGCAGGAGGAAAAAGCCGGTCAGCTGAAACTGAACCTGAGCCGTCTGTGGTCCAGGAGCTGCTGGCCAGGCGGCCAGAGAAGGCCTGCTTAGGAGACGGCCCGAGGTTGGGCCAGCACCTTTCTCCCAGGTGAAGAGCATGACATTCTGGCAACAGAGCGAGCATCTGGGGCTTAAGTCCAGGCCCTCTCCTCCAGCAGTGCCCGGGCACGCCACTTCCTCTCTGCCTGTGCTCCAGCCTCCCGAATGGGCGGTCTCGCCCACAGGGTGGCCGTGAGAACCGACTGCAGGCGAGGCACTGCCGTGGACCTGGCACTGGGAGGGCTCCACAGGCACTAGCTGGGCACTACACTCTCCTGGCCAGCTCTGCTCGCCCTTACGTTTCAGCTTAGACGGCACCTCTTGGAAGCCTTTCGGGCTCTTTATGCCACCCCAGACGTGAGTCATTCTCCGCTGGGTGCCCACTGTGTGCCCCATCATCACGCTGCGTGGAGTCATTGCTTATGGGTTCCTTTCCCAGGGCCCCTTCCCTCCCGACTGTGAAGTCTTTGACGTGGGAGGAAACTGGTCTGGGTTGTCGAAGCTGAGGGGCTTTCTCCAAAACTGGGAGGGGACGGGCTGAGTGTCTTGATCTCCCCATCCTCAGCCACTGGGTTCTTAATAGAAGTGACACGAGGGGGAGGGACCCGAGACTGACCTGGGGCGTGGGGAGGAAGAGAACAGGGCAGACAGCTCGACAGGGGTGAGGCACTCACTCAAGGCCTCGAAGATGCTGGAGGCTGCCCTGGAGGTGCAGATGGGCTGCAGGTCCCGAGGCAGGGCCAGGTGGTAGCAGGGGCCGGGCCGGGGGCTCTGGGCCTGCAGGCGGGGGCTGAACTCCCACTGCCCCTCCAGGTCACTCAGCTTCTTCACAGAATCCAGCTGGACCTGGAAGCCCTGGTACTGGGGGGGAGGGGGAGGAGATGGGAGGGGGTTAAAACCTAGACGGGGAGGCCAGGGCTCCTCAGACCCCAGAAGCCTTTCCTGTCCTCAGGGAAAGTTCAGGCCTCACCTGAAAGACTGCCTGGGAGGTGAGGTGGTGTCTGACACTTCACACCCCGAGCCACAGGCCCCCAGCAACTGCCAGAGGGCACAGCAAAGCTGCGGAGCACAGTCGTTCAAGGCATGGGCTTTGGAGACCAGCGGACCTGGACCCCGTTCAAATCCCAGCTCCTCCGGACAGGTGCCCGACTCTTCCCCACTCTGAGCCTCATCTGACAAATGGAGGTAATCATGTCCCCTCCTCCCTGGGCCCTGGTACCCAGGGCACACTCCATACCTGGGCGACCTCCCCTGAACCGACATGGCAAAGTGATGGCCAGCCCAGGCTGCCAGGCTCCAAGGCCCGGCTGCAAGGGGCGGTGGAGGCTCTCTGCACCTCTGCAGGACCCCCTTTGTCTCTTCTCAAGGAGGCCCTGCCCAGTCAGGAGTGTGACACCCAGAGCTACAGAGTCCCTGGCCACGCTGGAGAGGCCAGTGGCACCCAGTCATGCCGCAGACGGGCCCTCCCATGACCCCTTGCAGCCTCACAGGTACCCTGGAAGGGGCCGCTGAGCCCCTGCTGCCTGCTCTCCGGGCTCCTCCTATGCGGTGCCCTCGGCCTGGGCAGTCCGTGTCCCGTGTCTGGCTACCTCCTGCTCATCCTGCCAGGGAAACGTTTTCTGGTGATTACCCACCCTGAACCCACACACGGGTGAATCTGAAGAGCTGTGGGAACATCTGGGGTTCTCCCCTCCCCCGTCTGGGCTTCTCAAGAACAGGCACTACATCTTGTTCCACCCTCTGACCTCTGCCCAGGATGGGCCTTCGAGGAGAGCAATGCTGAATGACAGCAGGTTATTATTATTGCCACGGTCACCATCACCATAGCCATCGGCAAGCCGGCTGCCCACACCCACCAGTGTCTTAGTCCCTGGGCTGTGACAGACCCTGTGCCTCCCTGTGGCCCATGAATTCCCAGTGTCCCCTCTCCATCCCAACCTCCCACCATGGGAACCTATAGGGATGGGGAACCTTTTTGCTGCCAAGGGCCATTTGAATATTTATAACATCATTTGTGGGCCATACAAAATTATCAACTTAAAAATTAGCCTGCTACAGTTGGTCAGGCTAATTTGGTGAGGTCTGCGACATTGGCTGATATTGACTTCTCAGCCCTTGTATGGCCTGCGGGCTGGACGTTCCCCACCCCTGCGGGGGAAGGCATTCTGGCTGGAAGGACTCACCTGGATGTAGACTGACTGTGTGCTCTGCAGGAGCACCAGGAAGACCACAGCCACTCCAGACAGAAGCCCTGACATGGTCCTGCCACCAATCTTGCTCCCTCCGAGCCCCACCACAGCCATCCACTCAGATGCACCTGCTTCCCTGCTTGGCAGCTTTTATAAGCCAGGCTCCCGCTCCCTGGCCACTCATTAACTGAGCAGCTGGGGGTGGGGTGACACCTGGGCAGGGCATGTGTGTCAGACGCCTGCAGTTCGTGGGGCTCCGTGGGTGCGCCTGGGACTGCACCCCTTCCCTTTGCTCCTCCAGGCACCTGAGCGAGCGAAACGAGAGTGAGGCCATTTTAGAAACAGAAAAAGTGAGGCTCCAGAGTTAAAGTGCCCAGGTCACGGCACTAGTCGTTGGCAAAGCAGGGACTCGGGTATCTTTGCCCCAGGTCGGCCCATGGTCCTCCTCTGGGCAAAATCTGCAGACAGACAGGCTGGCCCAGTGCAGGGGGGCAGATGCAGAACGCTTGTGCCCTTAGATCCACCCCACCTTTCCAGCTCTATTTCAGGACCATCCTTCTGATCAGTCTGGGCCCAGGCCCTCACCTGCCTCTGCCTGCATCTCCCACGAGGGCCTGGCTGTCCTCCGGCCATGTGTGACTCCTCTCACCTGTCCGTGCCTTTCAGAAGCAACAGCCTCACCCAGCATGGAGGAACGAGCCTGGCCTTGGAGACAGAGTGACCGGTTCAAAGCCTGCAGCTGTGTGATCCTGGACAAGTGACGTAAACTCTGAGCCTTAGTTTCCTCTCCCATCAAATGGGCGGGATGGTGACCCACCGCACGACAGGGATGGGCCCCCCATCTCACCTTCTTCTCCTAGGTAACACATGCCGCAGGGGGGCCGTAAGCTCAAAGCTGCTCTCTAGGCAGTGCATAACCCATGCCCCCGTAGTTGAAGGTTGGGTAAGGGACGAGAGAGTAAAGTCCACAGGCGTTACTGCTACTGCCTGCTCAGGCAGCTGTAAATGGTGCCCGTGCCAGGCCTCAGCTCTGCGGGACGTCGAGCCTGGTATGTGGAGGCATCCGGGCCTGACGTTGATTGAAGCCCAGACCGCCCAGCGAGGTCGGGAAGGCCCACTCCAGCCCGTGCCCGGGTCTCATGCTCCCTGAGGCTCTGCTGGCGCTGCCCTGCCGGCTCCGCCTGCCCTGCTCACGCCTTTCTCGTCGGGGTGACCACGGGGAAGTGGACTTAACTCGGTATTTCCTGTCTTGCTTTGAATCCTGACTTCAGCCGTTACTCTTTAGAGGATGAGAAAGATGAATGGGATGCGTCCGCATCTGGGAGCTGGAAGCAGTCGTCGGTGACGACAGCTCTCGTTTCCTGAGCCTGCAGGGTGTGCCAGGTGCTGTTTTATGGGCGTGATCTTGTTCGATTCCGTAGGATGGCGTAAGGGTCGTCTCCACGTCACAGGAGTGACCCTGGGCCCAACGAGGGCAAGCACCATATTTAAGGTCACGTTAACCCAAAAGAAAAGGCCTTTCAGAGTGAGAGGCAGCAAGGGTTTATTTGAGATGGAAGAATAGTTACCTGGGAAGCCCCGGTTCAGGCAGAAGCCCAGACAGTGTTCTGGGCCGGGGACAAAGGCGAGGGGTATTTCTGGGGAAAGGAAGGGGCCGATCACATCAACACAAGGAAGGCGTGTCTATCAGTGCAGATCACGTAGCACCGCGCTGTGGGTTCTGCAGGGTTTTCAATGTTCAGCCTGGCAGCCGTCGGTCTGGTAGTCGTAATACCCGCTTTCGTGTTACCCCTGCAAACAGTTCTTTGTGGTACAGTGTTGCTCTAGGCCCAGTCCGCGGGTGGCGTGGCTCTGTTTGAACATCCACAGGTTTGAGGCGTGAGATGGGCAAGGAGGGTCCTCTGTCATGGCAGCTCCGGCTCCATTTCATTATTTTTTATTTTTATTAGACCCAAGTTCATATTTAATTTTAAAAGTTTTTTTTTTTTTTCCTATTACAGTTTACATTCAGTAGTATTTTGTATTAGTTTCGGGTGTGCAGCGTAGTGGTCAGACAATCATATATTCTACACAGTGGTCCCCTGATATTTTCAGTACCCACCTGGCACCTACATAGTTCTTACAATATTTCTTTTAAAGTTTTGTTAGAGTTTATTATTCTTTTTTCTAATTTTATTTTTAATTTAATTTTTGTTACAGATATTTCTCCTTTTTTACCCCATTGACACCCTCCTCCCCATCCCCCCGCCCTGCCCCTGGCTTTGTTGTCCATGTCCATTGGTTATGCGTACATGCATATAAGTTCTCTTCTCTCCCCCAACCACCCCCTCTTCTGAGGGTTGTCAGTCTGTACCCTACTTCCATGTTTCTGGGTCTACCCTATTCCTCAGACAGTTATGTTCATTATATTCCATAAATAAGTGAGATCATGTGGTATTTGTCTTTTTCTGCTTGGCTTGTTTCACTTAGGATAATACTTTCCAGGTTCCTCCACATCGTCTCAAAGGATAAGAGATCTTTCTTTCTTACAGCTGCATAGTCCTCCATTGTGTATATGTACCACTGCTTTTTTATCCATTCGTCTACTGATGGACACTTGGGCTGTTTCCAGATCTTAGCTATTGTAAATAGTGCTGCTATGAACATGGGGGTACATATATTCTTTCTGATTGGTGTTTCAGGCTTCTTAGGGTATATTCCTAGAAGTGGATCACTGGGTCAAATGGCAGTTCAATTTTTAATTTTTTGAGGTAACACCATATTGTTTTCCATAGTGGCTGCACCAGTCTGCATTCCCACCAGCAGTGTACTAGAGTCCCCTTTTCTCCACACCCTCGCCAACACTTGTTGTTTGATGATTTGTTGATGGCAGCCATTCTGACAGGTGTGAGGTGATACCTCATTGTTGTTTTAATTTGCATCTCTCTGATGATTAGTGATGTTGAGCATTTCTTCATATGTCTCTTGGCCATTTGTATGTCCTGTTTGGAGAGGTGTCTGTTCAGCTCCTCTGCCCATTTTTTTAATTGGGTTCTTTGTCTTCCTTTTGTTGAGTTGTATGAGTACTCAATATATTTTGGAAATTAACCCCTTATCTGATGCATCATAGGCGATTATGGTCTCCCATATAGTGGGATCCCTTTCCGTTTTGATGGTTGTTTCTTTTGCTGTGCAGAAGCTTTTTAGTTTGATGTAGTCCCATGTGTTCATTTTTTCCTTTGTTTCTCTTGCCTTAGGTGATGTATCAGTGAAAATTCTCCGTGTGATGTCCGAAATTTTGTTGCCTACATTTTCTTCTAGAATTTTTATGGATTCCCGGGTCACATTTAAGTCTTTTATCCATTTTGAGTTAATTCTCATGTATGGTGTAAGTTGATGGTCTAGTTTCATTTTTTTGCATGTAGCTGTCCAATTTTCCCAACACCATTTAATTAAGAGGTTGTCTTTACTCCACTGTATGCTCTTGCCACCTTTGTCAAATATTAATTGAGCATATTGTCTTGGGTCAATTTCTGGGTTCTCTATTCTGTTCCACTGGTCTATGTACCTGTTCTTGTTCTGGCTCCATTTTAAAATGTCTCCGTTTAGATTTTTTTTTACAGTCCCTGGGAGAGAAAGAGGGGCGAGCAGGTTTTATGTTTGAAATTCTTGCCTCTGCGTTGAAACGACTTATCAGCTCAGATATGTCATTTAGCTTCTCCGAGCCTCTGTTTCTTCATCACTAAGGAGAAGAAACCACGATAAACCTTGTAGTGGCCATTGTGAGGGCTGACGAATCCTGTCCCAGCGGAGCCCGGGACCGGGGGCTGGCCCGTGCGGTGGGGGGTTTCCTGCCTCCCCGTCTCCATGGCGTCCTCCCCGACAAACCCCGTCCCTGAACCCACAGCTGGGACAGTACTGGTCTCAGTCCCCTGCAGAGCGGGGTTTGACCAGCTGTATGACCTTGGGCAAGTGCATCACCTCTGCGATTTCAGTTTCTCATTTGTAAAAAGATGATCAGTCTTCAGCTTTCAAGTTTGTTATGAGGTCACCTGTCTCCCCACATCTTTGCTCTTTCCACCAGAGCAAGTGCAGCCCCACTGGCCCCACACCAGGGGACAGGGAACAAACCTGTAGGGTTTGGGGACTCCTGTGGCCATGGTCTCTGTCTGCCCCCCACCTTCCAGCCCCTGCAGCCAGGGCCCATCATGTGCCACTCTTTCCCTGGGAACAGGTGTGACTCCCTTATCTACCTAACATGACTCAAATTCATATTTCAATCCACGGCCTTTTAATCGCTTCATGAATGACCCATCATCCATCAAAACCACAGACGCAAATGCTTTGCTGCTGCGCCCACCGAGCCATCGTAAACTGACGCGTCTCAGGACACTTCCTTCTTTAGGGTCGTGGGAAGTGACTGTGACTCTGGTTTCTGTGTGGAAGCCTCAATCAGAGGGAGTGACAGGTGGCCTGTGCACGTGTGTTTAGGCTGCTCCTTTCCCCACCCTGGATGTCCCGGTAGCTGCTGTGCTGCCTCAGAGCCTGGGATGCTCCCAGACTCCAAGCCGAGCATTTCCCAGGAGTGTTTGTCACGGCGGACCCCTCTGTCTTTCTCCACTTGGCGTCTGGGATGCACGCTCTCCAGATTTCCTGCCAATCTCACTGGCCTATCTTCTCCATTTTCTTATTTGGATTTTCTTCCTCTGTTTGACCGCTAGACCTTAGAACGCCCCAGGGGCTCCAGGGCTCAGTCCTCGGGCCGCTTTGCTTCGTCTACAGCCACCCAGACTGGTGGGCTTATCCAGGCTCAAGGACTTGAGTGCCATCCGACAGTGCCCTGTTCACTCCCTAGCCTGACTTCTCAGCAATGGACTCGTTCAGCTAGCTTCTCAGTTTCCCTCAGCTTCTCGTAACAGTTGAGGGCACCACCATTCACCCAGTTACTCAGGCTAAAAATATGGGAGTCATTCTCGATGCCTCTCTTTCTTTCACTCGCCGCATTTAATTCACAGGCAAATCCAGTAGCTCTACCTTCATGATATCCCTAGACTCTACCCATATCTTACCATCTCCACTGCTATTAAGTCCAAGCCGTCATCACTGATCATTGTTCTCGTGGGCTATTGCAGAAG